CCCGATGGCAAACACCGGGGGCGGCGGCTTGTTTTACAACGTCGCTGCCAAGCACCTCTGTCTGTCTGTCTTGTGTCTGTGACCAGCCTCGATATATTACCCAGAAGATTCCAGCCCATTTCACCATCTCGGCACCAAATTGCATTCTAAGACGTGTTGACAAAAGCAATACTTTGCCCGACCTGCCCCAACTGCTACCTCTTCAATCCGTGCTCGGTGCGTCGCGATAGCGCAGCGTCGGTACCCAACTTGAAGCAGGAAAGTTGCTGGCCCCTTGCAACACCGAGAAGAGGCGTCGTTTGATTTTGAACCAAGACGTGTAGCCTCGTACACCACACACCACACACAGAGAGCCAGACATGGACAAACAGGGAGAGGGAGGCACAGACCACAGCGAGGGCGAGACGGCGGGAGAAGGGTGTGCCATACACTGCTGCTGTTAGCTATCGGCGAAGGAAGCGAGAGAGATTTGGTTGCAGCAGCAGCAGCAGCGGAAGATCGGCGAGAGTGCTGGATATTGGCGCCACACTCACCCCCTCATCCCCATCGGCCAACCACTTTTTCATCTCTTCCACGGCTCTCGAAGCCCACCCAGGGCTCAACAACCGCTCCTTCAGCCGCCTTTATGGCAGCGAGCGACCCAGATAACCGCAGAAGTTTGAGAGGTGAGCAAGCCAAGGGAAGCGGGGGACAAGCGGAAAGACCACCTCAGAAGGAGAAGACGTCGAGATCATGCTATTCATTTTCACTATCTACATAGACAAGATTGAAGCTGTTGACGACGCGTGGTTCCCGTAGCCGGAAAACGCCTGAGATATTTCGCGTGCACAAGCCTTGCATCGCCCTCAGCCCCCAACCGCTTGAAGTCGGCCAATCAGCGCATGCCTGTCTGGCTCGTTCACGTACCAACCTGCCCAGGTAACACACCAACACAAATACAGTGCACCCAGAAGACCCTAAGACAAGAGCAATACAGCAATTCATTGCCAACATGACCGTATCCTACTTTGTCTCAGAAAGTAAACGAGGGGCGTACTTACACGTCTCCATCTGCGGGCGCCAGCCAGTCAGCGATGCTTTCCCCAGAGCAATCCAGGTGCGAGTCCACTGCAAATCTTAGCAAAAACGGCAGGGCCTTTTCGGCGCGGCCTAGCTGAGGATGCTCCTCCATGGTCATGTCTTCTAGTCGCTTGGCGGCGAGGGCGTCGACTTGTCCCACGGCAGATAGATTCACCCCCAACAGTGAATTAAGCGAACCAACCTGACCGCATGGGGGCGTGGGGTGTGAGGGGCTCAATACCTATCTTGTCACCTGTGGCCGACAAAATCTGTCAGAGAATCGAGAGCAGCTTCGTGGTGTTGGGATGGCCTGAACGAACAGCCCGGTACCACAGTAGTTTGCGTCTCTTCACCTACGAAAGAGATGTGTCCCCTGCGCCGCATCTCTCGCGAAGTGAACTCACTCCTTTTGATATTTTCGCATCGCAGCGCATCGCCGAAGCAGGCTCGCCTTCGAAATAAGTATTGGTGCGTTTGGAGGAGGTCAAAGAACGAAAAGCTGCACGAACGTGAAACGGTGGTGGCTACACCCACGCCAGGCGATGCG